AGATATGTTGTGACGTAATGTTTTTCACCATCCATCATAAGAGTCACCCGACCTGACCGAAATAGCGCGGCAGTGTCGTCCTATGTTCGTCCCTGAGCGGATGTGTCAGCGTTTGTTGCAATTTTCGAGCTTTTATCGTTATATTTCGCGAAGTATTATTATTGCTTGCGAGTTTATTTAGGATAATCGGCGGTTCGATATATTATTTGTTGTACAAAGCATTGTCTCATCACCTAAATTAGCGGCAAGAAAGGAGATAAAAGATTCATATCGGAAGGCCACTCAGAGCAGGTGATACCGTTCTAAATTTTTAAATTTTAACGCTCTGTGTATGAATCTGTCATCTTTTCGCTGAATTATTTACAGGCAACTATTAAAGGGAGTGATTGAAGCGGCATGATCACTCTCTGCCACAGTACGAGCGAGAGACCCCACTATGGTGCCATGAGAAAATCTCTGTCGAGAAAGAAATTTCGGAAGTGGGGATCGTCTGAAAAAGGAGTCTATCAATATCCGTATTCATAGTCTTTCCTTGAGGAATAAAGATTTCTCGTTCCTCATTTTATATTTCATAAATCTTCCTTGATCTTGAAACAAGGAGCCTTATTAGCTTTCTTTTCTCAAGGGAGGTTACGAGTTTCCTTGAGGAAGAGATGCAGTCTTCGTAATCAAACAAACTCTTCCAAATTTAATTCGTTACACTGGTCTTTTTATTTTTGATAGCTTTTAATTTAGATCTGTCGCATCGATAATTATTTTTGATAGCTTTTTTTCGGAAATAAACTGCATCAAAAGCATTTTCTCCTTTTTCGTATAATAAGCATTATGCGAATTAATAATCGATTGGAACCACTAATGCATATTAATGCCGTTGTACACTGATTTAATTTGAGTATAAAAATAAAGTACAAATATTTCGAATTATAAAATACATATTTTATACAATATAATGTATTGAATATTTCACAATTTAATCGATTTCTATATTTATTTATAAACATACATTTACGTTTTTTTGTGTATATATGACGGTTTTAATGTGCATCAGTGCGCACTAAATGCATCCAATCAAATTCGTTATTAATTTTATTTTTCTTCATTATTGTTATAAAATGTTTAATCATGACTTTATTTAATTAACAATGTCTTTATAACCTTTAATATTCATTATTCACGATATGCATTATATAATATGACATGCTGCCTTCAGTAGATTACTAAAATCCTTAAAATATTCCTTCCTTCAGGAAGGTAGACTTGAGATCCGTTTATGAAACAAAGAGGTCTTGGAAAATCGAGGAATCCTTCTTGGCGGCTTCCTCTATCCTTAAAATAAAATATGGTTATGAATACGGATATAAGAATGTTCCTGTAAGGATTACTCAGAGGAGAATTATGAAGATGCCAACATTGCCAACCATAAATATCATCCAGAATGCGCAAGAATTCAGGGTGCGTGGCGCTATTACGATTCGTGGGGTTCGCGACCAATTAGAACGCGATAAGGCTTATCATGTGGACCTATGATCGCCGTATTCCCGAAAGTATCTCGGGTACGGTACTTATGTTATGGCAAGTCTTCCCAGCAAACGAGAAATTATTGAAAAATGTTGAAAATTATTCATTGAAGTGATGTCGAATCAAGTTTTTGAATTTTTTAAATCTAATATCGTAATTCTTGAATCAGTATTATGGATTAGTTATTTACTTTCTGTATCTCACCCAATGTGCATAGAAATAAAACGTGCGATCAATTCGATTGAATCCGTAATTACGTATTGATAATTTATTTTTGGTATCTTACCCAATGTTCAACGCAATGAACGCAATGCGATTAATTCGTAATTTAACCTGCGCTACTAAAGAATTGTCTAACATGGGAATCCCACCAATTAGGAATCCCACTGCTAATCACAGATTTCGGCAAGTGATATCATTGAAAAGTACACACCGAGATGCAAAAGTCATTGCCTCTCAAACAAAAACCCGAATGAGACATTACGGAATGAACATTACGGATCCACGGCAACAAGGTAATTTCTAGATATCGTATACTCTGACCACGATAGTGCAGATTATATATAGGAGTCATTCTATTGCCGTGAATCTGTAATGTTGTATACTCTGTGTATAGTATTAGGACTCGTTTGGGAAGAAACGGTTCATATTGTACATCTGTGATCATCTTGGTGCATGCTTTCCATGATAAATCACTTTTTGGGATCGCAGACTAGCATTTCATTCCTGAATCTATATAAATCTACTAGAGTTCGCATTATTATATTTATCAAGATGTATAGAAACAGATTCAGTATATTCAATCTCTACAAAATTCATCAATCTTTTTCGCGGATAATGTGGATTCGAAAATCCATGATTCATACGAATTTATCCAATTCAATCCATTCTCGTTTGCTGGATCGTTAGCAGGTGCATGAGAGGAAGAATCAGATCATCGAGGAAAATCGAGAGCTTGGCTAGGAGGCTCCCGTGATGAGACGAGCGTATAGTAAATAATAAACCGCCGATTTCTAGATCGGAGGGCATGTTTTCAAAATTTACAATATCGAATTTCGTTGAGTATTTTTGTGAGTAATTACATGTGAGTAATCACATTTGTGAGCGCGCAGCATGTGATCGTGCCATCCTGTCCAATATCATTTTACTTTTATACGTCCGCCGCGGCCACAGGCAAGTCATTTTGTATTGTATCGTTGCGTCATATTCTTGTATCACGTCTTAATGTCGATTGTTAGATTTCAGATAATATTTTCGCATATTTTAGAATTTCGAAAATTTTCTATCATAACAGTTCTCGTTATTCTCGTGATCGAGCTCTAGATCGGATTTGTTAGCGTTGGATTACGTTAGCGCGTAGCACGGTTGATTACCGCTATGATTATCGTATTACGATTAATTTCCTTAACTACGATATCAACTCTTCGTAGAATTACTTTAAAATTTAAAACTCGTTCCGTTTAGAAAGAATTCTTTTATCTAATATCGCGAGTCAAGAACGTAGTTTGGAAGAGCTAACTCCTTTTTAATGCTTTGTATAACGCATTATCGTTAATTTGCCAGCGTGTACGAAATAATATGAACAAATGAAAGAATATACACAGTTCGACAAATAATTTTTAAGAGGGCCTATAAAACGCTATAAAACGCTATAAAAACAAAATATTCTTATGCTTATTGTTTTATTTATTCAAAATAATCTCTTCTTGTTTTAATACACTTGTTACAGCGATTCAAAAGTGATTCAAATGCATGATGCAGCTCATTTTATGGTGCCTCTAGTGCCGTATTAAAACTGTTTGGATAGTCGGAATGTCTTCGAAAAAGCATCTTTTCAATTTTAATTTCAATTTTGGAAATAAAGAGAAATCGTACGAAACCAAAGGCTGAATATGGCGGATGATTGAATACACAGACTTGATTTCGCCAAAAATTGACAAATAATGAGTGAATTGTGAGATGGCGTTTGTCGTGCAACAGCGATTAACTTTCTGGATCTCGATATTCGGGACAGATACGACGGATTCTGGCCGGATTCTTCAAACGTTTCAAAATTTCGAGATAATAGTTGCCAGTAACTATTTGACCAAATAGAGCGAATTCTTTATGGATAAAGAATTCTTTGCTATCGAAGAATGTAATAAGCATTGAGCGACTCTCTACCATCCAAAAATCGTTTATTTTTTTTATTACAAGAAAACATTTGATTGACTTAAACAAGCGTCATCATACACTTGCTGCATCAACCGGAATGTTTCTGATGCACTTTTACCAAGTTTTGCGTTGAATTTAATGACCGCTCTTTGTTTGTTGTATGATAAAATTTCAACATCGATTTAAAATTTGTTTAAGAAGAACTGTCATAACTTTGTCATTTGTTATCCGATTTGCATGAACTTGAGTGCATTTGAAAGAAGAAAATGTATCTTTTTAATGATGCTAATGTTCAACAAATGGTACCACTAATTGCTGAGATATGGTGCCAGTCTTAAAAATTATTTGTCGCACTGTGTATTTATTATCATTTTATTATTACAAATTCTTCATATTTTATTGTTATATTGCCCTATTCGTTCTTCAAAATATCCTCCGTTCCTGGCCTTGAATCGTTTCCTCGTTTCTTCCTTTTTCTTCAATTTTAATTGGCCTCATCAATCTATTCTTTGACAGCTATACTGCATGTATGCACCAAATATTTTTTATTTGGGAGCTCTTCAACCAGCTCAGGCATAGTATTGTTCTTTAAAGTTTTCTTATAGAGTGCTAACTACTTATTTTAAACGTATAAGATTTGAAATTCTTATATGATGAAAAAAATTCAATTGTGAAAATTAAAATATGTAATGATCTTACTATTTCGTCAATAGATAAAATATAAAAGTTGTCTATCGTATTTAACTGAATACTCAACATTACAATGGTTGAATTTTACAATTTATTGAATTTTTTCAATTACCTACATTGAAGATGACCCAATAATAAGGACTGAAACGTCTGCAATTTTTATTTCATTTCTGAATATATGATATTGTTACACATCAACAATCTATGTTAGCTCATATTGGCTTTTTACAATTAATTAATAATTAACATTAACATTAATTTATTTATTTATGTATTATAAATTTTAATCATTTATTATTGTTTATTATTATATATTTTATAGATATCATTTTTAACATTGACATTGTTTGTTCCACAAGCTTCTTGTCATTTTAATATTAATTCTTTGGAAATCGAAAGAAATGCAAATTTTTGTATCTTTTATACCTTTTTTTATAAAATTATTTGTGTACGTTTTTATTTGATACGTACTCATTTTTGCGAAAATGTCTCTTTGCGTGCCATTTCAAAATTACCGCGATGCAAATATTTAAAATGGCCGCATCTATTATGCGCAGAATGGTACGAAGTTCGTCTCGAAACGACGAATACCCAATGTACTTCCATCATGATTATGTATTTATGTGCAATATGGCCGCAAATCATGGCTTGTCATCTTAGAGCATTTATCTATATGCTCTGAGCCTGTCATGATCGCGGTGAGCACATAAAAGTAGTAGTGTTTATCACATCATAAATATAATCATACTTTAGAAATAAAGTGGGCAGTGAAAAGCTACTATTTTAGGAAAACGAAAAATCTCATTTGAAATTATGAAATATTTCTCATTTCCAAAAGACGAAGCTGTTTGCATGAAGTGATATGAAGTTTGTACAAATCAAGATATTTCCACTATCAAAGGTAAGAAAATAATATACAATCGAGTCGATGTTAGCAATGGCAAATTTAGTATCTTTGAGATATGCAAAAAATTGCTCTTTCCCATTCATTGTACTTACTAGTATATTCTTAATACATATAAGTATAAGAAAATGATAATAAATTTTGTTTCTTAATTTATTTATGAATAGTTTCATGCTCTTGTTGCTTTTTATTGTATTTCAAAGTTTAAACAATAAATTACCTTGAAAATAATTTTTAATAATAAGAAAAATTATTTTGTATAATCGAATGCATTGCACAGATTTATAGGTTATAAAGGTTATAAGTTGTAAAAGTTAATTTCGACGAATTGCAAGTGTGAATGTGCATTACTCCTTTTTCTTAATAGGAATAATTGGAAAATATTTAATAATCTGATGCACTTAAATATATATTGTTTTATTTAGGATGAATATGTTCAATACATTTTGAATCATGTTTTAAAACATCTTTTCGATTGCAACTATCGGGATAACTCTTTGAAAAGTTCATAAGCCGAACAATAATGCAGTTTCCATATTGCATTTATTTAATGACTCGCAATGGCTTAATCACTTTGATGAAGGAGGGATTACATCACTGATACATTTAAAGAAATGACAAATGTGTCAATTGATAATACCAATATCCCTGGAGAAGTATTGAATGCCTCTACGCACATCAATGTTATACTACAAGAAGTAGTGCATTCATCTGCAGTTGTAGCAAATATGTCAATGGAATGTATTGGTACAATTATTCAAGAAGTGTCAAATGTTCCAATGTATATAAAAATTGCATCGCAAGAAATGGTTCCTTCATGTACAGTTATAGAAAATGTACCAATGAGTTTTGCTGATGTGTCTAAAAAAATGTCAACTGCATCAACACACATTGATATTGCATCAAAAGAAATTGTAGATATATCGAAGAGTATTATGGATGTATGTAATATGGACAATACTTTACATGTAAAACTAAGTGCAACATCTATAACAAATCTCCATAGTTCAAATAAAGATGTTGACTCTATGTAAGTAATATTTAACTTTATCTAGATCACCCTAATGTTCAAACATGAATATAACTAATTTTACTCATGTTTTTAAATTTTGTTATATTTTTGTTTATTACAGATTCTTTTGTAAAAAAAAAACGAAATCATAATAATTATAAAAGAGGAATAATTATTAGAGAACAATAGTGTATTGTCATTTTAGAGTTTGAAATAGATTTTTTCGTAATGTAAATAAATATAAAACTATATCTTATAATAAAATATATAAATAAAAAAAATAAATAAATATGAAAATATATATAAATTTAAAGAATAAAATAGTATATACATATGTATATATACATATCATAATAAAATAAAATTCATAGTAA